TGGTTAGAGACGCTGAGAGATATGGCGCAGAATAGAAGTCAGTGGCGCGAATGCTGTACGATCTGTCTATCGAAATCCCGTACTCCGTAAAAACAAAAAAATTCAAAAAGTGTGCGGTGAAACACCCAAAAAAAATTGTTATTTTTTTTATTCGTCATCTCCCATTCAGCCAGCTACATTCTTTTCCTATACTCTGTACCCTAACCCCCCCCCCATGGCGTTGGCACCAAGCTTGATCTCAAACCGGTGTTATATATATATATATATATATATTTATATATGTATATACATATATACATATATACATATATACATATATATATATATATATATATATATACGTACAGCAGATCCATTAAAGTACCGCAGCAAAAAATACCGTCGCGCATCAACGAATATCATATCAATACCAGAGGTGCCTCAGGCTATAAAAGAGTTCGTAATTGGTCTACCACGATTGGTGTCAAACAAAAAGATGAAATTTATCTGACTTTCTTATCACGATGAAGCCAGTAAATAACCCTAGAACTAATGTGGTTTCATTGGAGACACAACATCTCTAGTCGAATTTCCACAGCGTAAATTGAAACATGAAACATAAGGTAATCGGTAAACACCGTTGCATGCACAAAACTGCCGCACTTACTCTGTGTGTCATTCCCGTCTTCGCTAAATAAATCCGCTTGAGACAGTTCGTCAAACGATGGGTCTGGTAAATTTCTAAGAAAGTGAAAATCGGCATCAATCACTTACGATCGTAAATTGTCCGTATCTTGCAACTCTGGTGTCGTTTCCAATATATTTCGCATGATTCTCTGACGTTCCGTTTCAAAAGCTTTGGGTACAGATTACGTCATTGAAACACGTACACATTACCTTGACCCTGTAACAAATCGAACTGACTCCGTGACATTATCAACCGCTGTGAATCGAAAGCAGGATCGTATGGACTCACAGACGAATGAAATCTGTTATACGTCCCATCTAATGCACCTAGGACTGGTGGACGCGATTCGGAGGCCGTGGGCACAAATTGGTCTGTAGACACTGCGTGTGACTCGCTTTTTTGATGAGCAAACCATCGAGTCCGTTCAGTGTACTCCGCATACGACCGAACCAAAGCAGTATAGCGATCGTGCAAATCGTTGTACTTTTTGGTCCACTCAACCTCTTTTTCTTCCGCGCGTGCAACTTTTATCAAAACAAAAACGATTAGAATAAAATAGAGAGTTACCCTGTTCCGACGAGTTGCGCAATTTTAATTCACACACACGGAGTGTGGCTTCCATTTCAGACAGCTTCGTCTGAAACACTTTCCTCTCTTCTTCAATATCGTCCTCCAGTCTGAGGTTGTTCTGTTGCATGGAATGAAATGAACGAATGGTTGTGAATCACTTACCGCTTCGGCCGATTTTCGATTGGTTTTCTCCCGTTCATACTCATTCATCAAATGTCGATGGTCATCTTTAAGAACAGCCAATTTTAATTGAAGTTCATCTCTTTCTGTGTGAACAGATTCCAGGTTTTCTAACGCAGTCACGATTAATGGCATCAAATTATGCAAGAATCTGTCACCATATGTGGCAATCAGAGACTTGCATTCGCGATAGATATCATTGGCCAACGAAGGTATTTTTGTGCAAATAGGTTCGGCATGACTGGATAACTCCTCCGATATCGTGGTAGTTCTTCCTCGATGATCTGGCGGTTGATTAAATGAGTGTCCGTATTCCATTTGTATTATAACAGCGAAACAGTTTAATACGAGATGTTAGTAAAAACTGATCTTGTGGGATCGGTTCATCTCTGGCAAGTGCTCTAAAAGCAAAGTGGGGGTGAGTGGACCAGTATTTATTTTCACGAAAAAGTTAAGTACAATGCACTCTCAAGTGGTCAGGTTCGGTATGCTTCCAATCGAATCATAACCCTGGCTGGTTGCGATACGTAAGGTGGGCGAATCGCTTTAAGCTCTTAAAAATAACTGGTTCTGTATGCGGAACAGAAACGGTACGAATAGGTACCCNGGTACCCAGTGGGCCACTGGGTAATATGCATGCATTCTACCAGTCTCGGATTTGATCCTCAGTTGCACCGATGGACTCGCACTGTTGATGCGACCAAATCAAGTCGAAACAGTTGCCCAATGCTTCCTGACTTTTCAACTCATGCTTTATTTGCTCTATACATGATGAAATTCTCCATATGAACAACGACTGTCACCATAGAGAAAAAAATGGGGATTCACAATGATAATATGGGTTTAAAGAAAGCATAGCCTTATTTATCCAAAGAGTGGAAGTCTGCTTCTTTGCCGTTTTGGTTGAAAACTTTCCCCATGGGGGCTCATATAATTCACGACCCACGGGGCTTTGATTTTCGGTCACTATCGGGAGGGAGAATATCTTCGTGAATGAAGCTTACCGGTTCCACTAATTATCAAAAGATGATAGCCAAATTAAGTGAATTATCTGCTAGAGTCTCCAAAAGCCTCAGTATGGTCGGGGGTGGGTGTCTAGGGCTACGGCTGGTCACCCTTCCCTTGCACTTCGTGAAAGTTTCCATACGACCAAACGTCTCAAATAGCCTCTACTGAGGAAGCCCCGCTCATTGCCTTCGCAATGCGAGGTGTTTTCCCCACCGAAGTGAGAGGGCAAATAGCTGACATCCGGGGCTATAAACGGATTAGTGGATTACTGG